ATATTCGCAAAATACGATAAAAAGTAATGCACAGCAACCCTGTATCTCGGACACCCAGATTGCCGGGCTGAGGGGCAACAACCCAGGATAGAAATTCGAGATAAAGAATGAAGACGGGTTTGGAGAGATGGGATCCTGGAAAAAAGGATCACACCCCAATCCGAGATAAAATGAAGACCGATTTGGAGAGATGGGATCCTGAGAAAAAGGATCACACCCCAACCCGCGATAAAATGAAGACCGGTTTGGAGAGATGGGATCCTGGAAAAAAGGATCACACCCCAATCCGAGATAAAATGAAGACCTGTTTGGAGAGATGGGATCCTGGAAAAAGGATCACACCCCAACCCGCGATGAAATGAAGACGGGTTTAGAGAGATGGGATCCTGGAAGAAAGGATCACACCCCAACCCGCGATTACTGACAAGAAAGTTGGTAAGGAGAACTGAAAACTCACATCCGGGATCCAAGAAATGGACACGTGGACACAACGATGTTAAGCCGAATTACAAGGATGATGCGCTTGGGGGCAACTTGTCTGTTCGATCCGAACAACTCAGGCTCATTCATCACCCGATTATATGGAATGTACGCAGTATCTTGTCGGGTTCATGCTCAACCCGCCGAGATAAGGGGCAATGAAGTGCCATTCACCGTTCCAAAAATTCAAAGCCTAGAACACCTGGGAAAGTCAAAATAAGCCAAAGTCAAAAATGACACTCTAACAAGAAGCCGAGTTAAACAGTATAAAGCCAAGGAATTGGAAACCTACGACTAGCAACGAGCAAGATCCTGGATAGAAAACGGGTTGAAAAATAAAGGGCAGATTGGTACGACCTTAATCAAGGCACCTTATTGGGTTAAAAGCAAAAAGCGGAAGTCCGCATGGAAGACCTTGGCTAGGTCATTTTGTTTAGTTAACGCTGAAAAACTAAATCTGAATCAATAAAGCCATCATGCAAGAAGTTGGGCTCAAAGAGAAAGCCTCGGAAGGAGAAGCCGAGCTCGATGTTGAAAGGAGGCAAACACCGCCTCACCAAAGCACCACCTCAGCCAAAAAAGGTTGAAGGAGAAATACAGAAATCGCATATTCAATACTCAGTTTACTAAAATTAGCTGAATGAATGATAGAGATAATAACTGCAATCGCTAACCCAATTAAGTCGGCCAAGGAAAGTGCCAAGAAAATTGCTTCAATGAAGGTGTCAAGTCAAAGCAAGGATTCGACTGCTAACTTGAAATTCAAATACAGATATTACTGTTATTACATACAGGTATACGACAACTCTTATCCAGGTTATACGAATGATGCTTAGGGGCAACTCGCCAGTTGGATCCCAACTACTCAAGCTCATTCGTTACCCAATTACACATGCAGAATATCTTACCGGGTTCATGCATAACCCGTCCACATAATTGACAAGGGAAAATCATTCCCGGTTCCAGAAGAAAGCTACAAGCTCAGGACGTGTGCGTATGGAATGATGCTTGGGGGCAGCTCGCCAGTTGGATCCCAACCACTCAAGCTCATCCCAAATTCGGTACAGGAATACGTGAAATATTTTCCATGGTTTATGATCAACCCGACGAGAGAAGGGGCAATGAGGACCCCAGTTTAAGAGCTTGAGATGTAAGGAACATATATGCAAAAAGTTTACAAAAAATCAAATGTCTTCAGCTCAGCAGAAAACCTGAAGCAAAAGGCAAGACAATTCACCCTGGCAGCCTGGACAACCAAACTACCGGGCTGGGGGAAACTGTTATGGACCTGACAAAGGCCTATATTCTAGAAGGCCCGAATAGGGCTAAACAACTAAGAGGGAATTAAGAAAATATTCCTTATTTATAGTAATCCTATTACGGCAGCAATGGATCAACAATTGGACCCCCAATACTCTTAAGAGGCCCAAAAGTCCACTCCTGCCAAGTAACCCATCTATAAATAAGGGGTTAAACCAATAAGGTACACACACTCTAAACCCTCTCTCTTAGCTTGTCACTGTGCACACACCCCACGCCTTGACTATGTCGTTATATTATTGTAAACAGTGATCCGCTTATCTTTAGGGTACCTCTCCTATACATATCTGAGGGAGGGCAAACAGATCCTATATTAACATACCAATCTATGATTGGACATATCAATCTATCAGATCGTAACAGATACCATTATATTTGGAGATTTACAAATAGTTTCTCAATTGAAAAGATTAAAAGGACAAATTAATATTTTATTTTATTTTTGGATTACAAAGGGAAACTAAGAAAGACAAATTAATTTTAATTTAAAAGAAAAGAAGATTTTTTTCTTCTTCATAAATCATTCCCATTACCCATGGATGTCAATTAATCTGGATACAAGTCGGACAGAATCTTAAGGAGGATATTGTTCTCCCTACTAATTTTTTTTAAAAAAATGAAATAAAATTGTGGCACATGTTACCTTAGTCCTCCAACTCATGAGAATATAAACTTTATAGTTATTATTTTCATAAGTTTAATACATCTGATCTTTTAATAGTCACATTTAGTTACATGCAAAAGTTAATTATGTAGCATTTATTAGGGTGATTATTCAAACATTGAACTATGCATCAACAAATGCAATATATGCTCAACCACCAATTATTAAAGAGAAACACACTCCAACACTCTCCATCAATTAAAACCTAATTCAGACATTTGTTATGAGCAGTGCAAAGTCATGAACCAACCCCTTTTGGCTTTAATTGTCACATAGTATCATTAACAAACTTAAACTTAAATCTTAAACACAACATGTATCAGGGTAGAAGCGGATTAGGACGGATTAGTTCAGACCAAAAAAATTTGGATTGAATAAGTCTGACACGCTTCCTAGACATAACATTTGAGCTTGATATATTTAGCTGATATTTTTTTAAGCTTAACCTATAAAAATATGGGACTTATTAATCTCCTTTAATAAAAGATAAGTTGCATCATGCCATACAAACAAATTATGTGGATTCCATCATTTTTTAAAAATAAAAAATAAAACAAAAAAATCGCATAATTTTTATGCCTCACTAGCATAAGATAATTGTCTCCTATAAACAATTTAAACGCTAAAAATATTTAACACCTTTCTAGATTATAAATATGTTAACAAGTTTAGAATTTCATATAGAATAACAGATCACCAAAGCCTTTAAATGGACTAACAAATATATAATTTCAAGACATTACAATAAAACATTAATTTAATAATAATAATAATAATAATAATAATAATAATATGTTATATATGTTTACTTAAAATAAGTGAACTTTAAAATTGTATAAGTTTAACTGAAAACTTACTTTTTAACTAAATTATTCTTGTAAAATACGTTGACCAAAATTCTTTATGGGCTGAGTCTTTCATGTAACAAGATAGCTTTATCATCTCCCGCAGATACAAAAACATGGTGGGATTCATCATGATTTTTTTTTTTTTTTATAAAAATAAACACATTTTTTTTTTAAGTCAGCCGCGTAAGAAAACACTTCTCCTATAATAGAAGAAGTGTTTTTCCCATTTTTTATTAAACAAACTAGAACAGGTCAATAGGTACCTGACCAATACCACCCGTAATTCCAAGCCATACAATCTTGCTAGATAAAACATATATTGATAAGTAGAGATTTAATAAATGATTTTTTATATTATAATTTATATTATATTTCTTTAATATATCATCTTACGCAAGAGTTCATTAGACTTGTAATATGGATATCAGGCCTTTTTTTGTTATATATTGTGCTGACTTAATTTTACTAAAAAATAGAGACAATAAGAATTGAATTTGTAATCTTATTATCACGACTCGAGCAAAAAAATGAATTTTTATAGATATAAAATTAATCTCAAGTGAAACAGATATGAAATTAATTTGAAGTGAAACCACGTAACAATTATCAAATTCTCTTATTAATTTGTCTGTCCTACACTTTATATTATCACTTGAGCCAACCCTCAATTCGATATTTTGGGTCAATGTAATTATCACTTATACTTCCTTAGTTATCAAACGCGTTGTTTAATGTGCGGTTGTTGGGTAAACTCTTCCTTCATCTAATCTAGAAACCACAAGTAGTCGAATGTTATACAAAAATCAAAATTTGTTGAATTATTCGCTAACTTCATGCCTAAACAATGACCTATTACCATCCTTTTTTGTTTTCATTCATTGACTCAGTTTGGAGTCATCTTATTATATCGAATAGCTCATGTTGACATTTCAAACATTTTTCAGTTCGCGCTATATACTTCATGTGTCTTGAATATATGTGACAAATTGTCTCTTTTGTTAATGTTAAATCCAGCACATATTCAAATTCAGATTTCAGAAATTTGACTTCTAGTTTCGCTCGCTACAGCAGTCAAATTTAGTGGAACCTTTGTCCAAGAATCGTTACAACTCTGTTAGAACTGTTTCATCATCAAATAGAACGTCTCCCCAAGATACTTTGTTGCAAGTATACCTTTCTCTCCACGCATTGATTTTAAAACAATGTTAAATTATTCCATTGACCTCATAGTTTGACTAAATTTTTAAAGGAAAATATGTCTTTTCAGCCGCTGTAAAGACACTGTTCCGTGCAGCAGTCATATTTTCAGGATACGGTTCCGTATTTTGAAAAGCATGTGTCGGTTACAAATAACTACTATGCAACAACAATAGATTAAGGGTGTGCATAACAACCATTTTGTTCCCTGACACTGTTTCTGAAAAGAAACAATTCTTTTCTATTTCTGTGCCTTGGAACAGTTTCTGAGAAAAAAAATGTGTTTGATAGCCTGTTTTATTTTTATTTCGAGAATAAGAATTGTGTTTGATAACACAACGAATAATAGAATAAAAAATTATTCTTATTAAGCATAAAAAAATTTCGAATCATCACTTTCCTTTTCATATGATGGAGGTGGCGGCGATGGTAATGGTGGCAGTTGTAGTAGTGGCGTCGAGGTGGTTAAGGTGATGGTATGGTGGTGGCAGTAGTGGTGACGATGGTGGTAGTGGTAACGGCGGTAGCGGTGGTGGTGACGGTAGTGGCTATGGCGATGATGAAGGTGATGGTGGCGGTGGTCGTAGTGATAATGGTGGTGACAGTGATGGTAGGGGTGATGGTGAAGGTGACGTAGAGGTGGCAATGGTGACAACATTGATGGTGGTGATAATGGTGGCGGTGGTGGTGGTGATGATGACATGGTGGTGGCGGCGATGACGGCGATAGTGGTTGCGACAATGGTGGTGATGATGACATGATGGTGGCAGTGGCAGCGGCAGTGGTGACAGTAGTGGCTGCGGCGATGGTGTAGTGGTGGCGTCATGGTGGTGGTGGTGGTGGCAGTGGCTACGATGATGGTGGTGATGATGATAGTAGTGGTGGTGGTGTTAATGATGGTGATGATGGCTGTGATGTAGAGGCAGCGATGGTGACAGCAGTGGCCGCAGCGATGGTTGTGATAATGGTGGTGATGGTGTTGGTGGCAGTAGTGGTGGTGATGGTGATGACTTGGTGGTGGCGTTGGCGATGGTGTAGTGGTGGTAACGGTAGCATAGTGGCGACGGCGACAACAGTAATGGCGGTGGTTGTGACGACAGTGGCTGCGACAATGGTGATGATGATGACATGGTGGTGGCGGTGGCGGAGGTAGTAGTAATGATGGTGGCGGTGGCAGCGATGGTAGTGGTGGTGGTGACAGCTGTGGCTGCGACGAAGGTGATGGTGATGAAATGGTAATGGTGGCGGCGGCAGTGATGGCATTAGTAGTGGTGGCGTCGTGGTGGTGACGGCAGTGGCTACGATGATGGTGGTGGTGGTTGGTGATGGTGGTAGTGATAATGGTGGTGACAGTGATGGTGGTGGTGGTAACGTGGAGGTGGTGGTGGTACGACGATAGTGACGGTGGTCGTGTCGGGATGGTGGTGGCGGTGGTGATGATAGTAGTGGTGGAGAGTAATTGTGAGCGATAAGTGTTTCTCATTTTGTGCCCGGGAACAAAAAAAAATTGATTCTTTTTTCTGTTCCTCAGCACAAAAATTAAACCGGTTCATCCCAATAACAAAAAAATAAACTGATTTTATCAAACGAGTTTTCTATCCAACTTTTTTCCCGAAAGCAAAATTATAAAAAAAATTGATTATGGAAAAGTTATCATGCACGCCATAATAGAACCCATTTTTAAATATATCTTTATAGTTTAAAAGTTTATTATTAGGTTCTCGTATTTTAAAAACAATTATGATTAGATCCTTACAATTTAGCAGAGTTTTCAATTAAGTCCATATTAAATTTAAAATTTTGCAACTAAGTCCTAAAATATGAACCAGCAACATATAATGACCTGTATTATTTATTTAAATTCAGAAAAAAAAATTTTGAATAATAAATTCACTTATCCAATCAATTTCAACTTTTTGGGAAATTTTCATAATTTATCTTTGCTCCGTTTTCTCCTTCCTCTCATCTAAAGGTGGGTATAATTCGATCCAAATCGATTTTTTTTTTTTCTGAATCAAATCAATTGGTTTAAATAGATTCGGTTCAAAGATTCAAAAACCCATTTATTTTTTGGTTTAAATAGATTCTCTTCCCTACGTTTATTTTTCCCAAACATATTTGGAACCAACTTATGATCATCAAAATCAGTTTATGATTTATATCTGGTTCCGAACCAGTTTAAAATTGTTCGGATATGCAAATCAGTTCTACATCAATTTTGAACCGGTTGTGACGATTTGAGTTAAAACAAATCAGTTTGATTCTTCTGATTTTCCAAACCAGTATTATTTAATTTTTAAACTGTCTTATAAAACTAATGCAAGTCTCAAAATTAGTTTAGAAAAATTCACTTCAATTGGATTTAATTCAGTTGACTTGCATAGCGCCGCTACTCCTATCTCTCAACCGAACTTTCAATAGCAATGTGATCACGGGAAAAAATCGTTGGCTAGTTTTGGAAATGTTTCTTAAAATGCATTAAAAAATCATAAGTACTAGACTGGAAATAAGGCTCGAAAAAATCATCGCCAACCATTTAAAAAAAAAAAAACCAAAATGTTATCTGAAGGAGATGGGGGCTTAAAGACCCAACTACAAAGACATATCTCTAATTTATAATGCTTAGCTACCCAATTAGCCGTTGGCATTTCTATTCCTCCACACCACTCATGGGGTATTGTTATTATCCAGTTTTTCTTTTAGGTACCGATCCTCATGCATCAAGCTTAATATAGTAGGCCAAAAAAAAAAAAAACACGTACAATATGCTCAATGCTTTATCAGATATCCTTTAATATGTTATCATTTATTTTTTGGAGAGATATGTCATTGGATATCTACTTTTTTCTTTTTTCGTTTTGGTATCCTGCATATCTACTTTATTTGTTGGTTACAATTATAATTGTTTGGTGTTTACTATGTATAAGTATAACTAGGAACTAATAAATGTTTAAAAACAAAGGTACATAAAAAAAAGGTAGGTTAATTGTATGAAAGAAGTTAACTTTGGAGGAACAAAAAATGAATATCAAGATCACATGTGACATGACACTCTTATACACAAATCTTGTTTTATATAACGGCATTAGATTATATTAGATATTAATTTTAAATCTAATTATCCTAATATCTATAAGGGAAAAATATCCTCTTAAACGACAACCATTTTAGTTAAAATTAATTTTTTTATTTAATATTTAAATTAAAAAAATCTCTCAGTGTCTCCCACCATAATTTTTATTTCTCTCATCATAAAGCACAATAATTTTGACTAAACTAATATAATTTTATGTCCTTTAAAAGAATATCTATAATAGTATCTAGAAATAAAATATAGTAAATATTTCATCCCAAAATGTTAACAGACGCCAATTAGTGGCGGGGAATTAGAAGAACTTTTATACGATTAAATATGCTCAAACCTCATTATTATCATTGATAAAAAAAATGTATATAAAAAAATAAAAAATAAAGTCGATAAGATAAATTTGTCTCACAAGTGAATAACTAACGGCTTGTTCACCTTTATTTAATGGATTAAGATCACACTTTATTTTATTAAATTAAACATAATTACATCTTTGCACACCTATTTTAGGAGAAATCATTTTTCGATTTGTGTCTCTGATCTTTAATAGCCAACACATTGTAACCTTAAAATCCAAATCATTAAAAATATTTAAAAATAGAAATAATTACTAATTTGGCACTAGTTTAATTTAAAATTGATTTAACAGCTTATAATTAGAAGTGGGTAGACAAGTGGACTTGATTCTTATGGACTCAGTTTGTAACAAATTGACTATAAGCAAGCCTGCCCCACATTTTAAATGGTCTAATAAAAGAGACAGTCCATTCTACCCAGCCTTTTCACCCTTAGTTTTTGTGAGCTGCCCCGCAAAAATATGATCTGGTATTGTTGATTTTTTTTTAGAAACAAAATATTAATGAACTAAAACATTAGTAGTATCCAGCCAAGAATCACCGAGCCATTAGCCACTTAGAAAGATAACAATCCATCTACAAGAATCATCACCCAAAATCATACTGGGTTGGGTTATGCTACACTTTTAGTCTAAAGCAAACATACTTAAAAATAAATACAAGTCTTATAAGAATAAATCTATAATCAATTTTCTTAATAGGCATTTTTTAAGGTCTCAACATAATTCTCTGTTACAAAACATACTAAAGTCTCACATATGTAAATTGGACTGTGAACCCTTGATAGACAGCTTCATCCAGTTATACTGCTATCCACATGTGAATCACCATCCAGAAGGATAATTACTATTTTCTTGTAAGAACCAATTTATAAAAAAAATAAAAAATATAAACAAAAAGCACTTTGGGCATCTACCAAGGAAAAAAAAGGGCACTTTGGGCTCATTACTATTTTATTCTCTGTGTTGCGATATGTTTGTCTCAGGGAATGTTATTATAATTACTATTAGCCATACCTGTATTGTCCAGAATCCAGATTGATCTAACATTTCAAATAAAAAAAAGAGTATTAAATCGAACTATGGAACCAGACCGTATTAGTTATAATTGTGTTATAAACAAAATAATATGAACGTTGGATATTTAATCCCAAATTGTAACTCCCGGAGAAGTATAATTTTGGTCATTTAACTTATTGTAACATACATTGCCTTGTGAGACATGTACAAAGCTTCAAGAGATATTACAATATTGTTTGGTATGACTCATACTATGCATATTGATGAGTGCCCTTCTTGGCGAGTCAATAGAAAGACAATTGAAGTTCCATGAATAGTTGTTGTTAGAGTTTTCTAAATCTTATTTATATTCCCTTGTAAACCGAGTGACTTGTATTTAGCGGCGGTGATGTGAATATAGTACAGACAAGCTAGACGAAGCCTGGATGAATCACTGTGTCAAATCTTTCTTCCCTTTCTCTTTTGTTTTTCGATTTGTGTGATTGTCGATTTCCAACAAATACAAGAAGATATTCTACTACTTCTTTCTCTCTTATCTCTATATTCTCTTACAGTTATTCCTTCTTTATTTATTTTTATCCTAGTTATTTTTGTTTTACAACACGTTATAAACATGATGCTATGCACCAAAAGAGAATCGTCGCAGTGATTAAAAGACCTTACCACCACGTTGTTGATCGGTCGAAGCTTGGTCGATCCCCACCATGCCGTTCATCGTCGATCGCCACTCTCCTTCGTCCACGTCTCTTTTTCATTTCAGATCAGGAAAATTGAAAAACACAATTACCATTTTCTCTTTCAATCCATTTTCTGATTATACCACTGGATCTATTTTTCATTCATTTTAGATTTATCTACCTTTCAATTTTGCTTTGATTTTCTCAACTGCATGTTTTTATTTTTGTTTTTGATAAATGAACACACTTTCTTACCTTTAAATGTTAGATTTTTTTATAATTATTGTGAGCTTCAATCAATTGTATTTATTTTTGTTTTAATAAAAATGGGCTAAGTCGTGATCCATATATCGGTACAGTATAAAGCCCATTTAATTAAGTGATCATCTGGTTTGGCTTGGATATCTATAACACTAATTAGTGTGGGTAACAGTGTATGCCTAACACATAGGCCCATGATGGGAAGGAGACTAGGGTTAATAAATAAGTGATCATCTAGTTTGGCTTGAATATCTGTAACACTAATTAGTGTGGGTAATAGTGTAGGCCTAATTCATAGGTCCATGATAGGGAGGAGACTAGGGTTAATTAGTTTGGATAGGTCCCCTATGTATTCATAGTGTGTTGTAAAATCATCACTCCACAACTTGCTCCATCGATATTTGTGAATAAGAAGTGATGTGAATTGCAAAGGAAGATCCTGGTCTTTCAAACCTTGCAGGAAAGACGAAGTATCAATCAAGAGAATGACAAAGTATCAAGCAAGATAGAAATCAAGAATCATGTCTTCAACAGGCCTAAACTCTTTTGGTGTTCTAATTTCATATAATCCTTATTATATGATTTCTAACATTTGGTATCACAACCTAGATTATATGAATTACGACCTAATGATTTATTATGCACATGAATGACTTTTGTTTTGGATTTAAACGAAGCATATTTCACCAAAATTCTTCTTCACTCATGATCTTCAACAAATGGGAAGATTGATGTTCAACAAATTCGTTCAGGTCATAATTTGGCAGATTTATTTACCAAGGCATTACCTACTTCAAGTTTTGAGAAGGTTGTATACAAGATTAGGATGCATAAACTTAGAGATATTAGATAATGTTATCATCAGGGAGAGTGAAATACGTGTTGAAC